CCAACAGGAACTGAAGTAGTTCTTCTAGCCTTTGGAACATGTAGGTCGTCTCCTGTTCCTGCTGAAAAGCGAACGGGAGAACCCATATAGAATGATCAAGTTGACCAGGTATTCATTGAAACGTGTGCATGCATGAAAACCTGCTATATCTTCTGCATTAAACTGAAATGCATCTAGTAAAACGCCATGAACACCGAGACGTGCTTTTCAGGCGAATAGGTAGGTAAAATAACTGCCTCACTGGAACAGTGTAAACATATTTCAAATAAATATAAAGCCCGCGTAACTCGGCCACTCAATGAAAAAGCTGATTGGTGTATCTTTATATTGATTAATTTGGTGACCTGGATTAATAGCATCACCAGAGGGGCGGATAAAATGACAGACTGCTAGACTCGAGAGATGATACCACGGCAAGTAAGTCATTTATCGATCCAATCTGCGAGGAGATACTCAAATAACATATACTTGTCTCGGGTGATAATAATTCGAACAGATATCAGTCCAGAGGATGTCGTGGTGGCATAGATATGAGATCTTCTCATAACCAGACTTCTGTACCCCGAACTGTATCACCATACAGAACTATAGTATTCTCATATACATTAATTTATCGGGTATGCGTACTTATCGTTAATAGCCTTGAATTGGGATGACGTATCAACGAATTCCTTCCGGATTTTGTTCACCCAGTCAAGTAAATAGGTCATAGAAGTGGAATCACTCGTAACTCGGATCGTTCGTTATTACTCGCCCTGACTTGACGAATACCTGGCGACTGGTGAACTCAGACTTGGACTGTTGCCATCAATGGACTCTTAGGCCGGGTATAGAGGATGCGTGGGGTATATTGGTTTGTTTACGTAGTATTAGCGACTTGGTGGCTTGAGTACTGCCGAGCTTCTGTCTGCTTCGGCGTTGTGCCAGTTTTTGTACCACTCGTATATCGATTCTTCGACAATAGAGTGTACTGTATTGCTTGTGTATCGATAAAGAAAGCATGCTTAAGACAGCCCTCACCTTTTCTTGAAATTTCTCGTGCATCGGATCGAGATCCAGCAGATGGTCCACTACTGCCCTAAGCCCGCGGCTGTGATTGGGAACTTATTGTAACCATTGAGCAAGCTCAGCCCCTGGCTCCAGGCCTGTAATCAACATCACATCGACTTTTCAAGTGGCCCTTATATGAGGGAGCTTGAACATAATCCAAGTATTTAAGAGCTTGAGGAGCTATCCCGGGTTAGTGGCAAAGGCCTTGAGAAGACCTGAAATTCTGCCTTCACCAAGTAAAGTGGTTTAGCGACTGCCGGTTGTCCGTTCCACAAGACTTCGTATATTGTTCTTTGGCCTATTGCCCGAGTCAGTTTTGAGCGGCTGATAAAGGGTCTTGCCAAATTGGTGAGGAATGCAGCAAATTCCGCTATGATATATCCATTAGTTGGGAACACCTTATTGGACGATTGGCAGTATACAAGAAAGGAGAGCTCTTCTTCAACGGGCCCGTAAGTCTCTTGGTACCTGGTACGTGCGTACTTAAAGGCTCACGCTGAGACGCTCACAAAATCGGTCCTCTGACCAGGTGAAGTGACGCGCGCAACGAAACCGTGCAGGTATTCTTGCTGCGAGAATGTTGTCTTTTTTAGGTGAGATAGCTGACTGGTGCCCAAGTACCCGGCTTGCTGGAGGCCCTCAGACCCTGTAAGCATTCCTCTTGGACCATGGGCTATGTGGTGACTGAGATGACTCTCGGTAGCTCGCCTACTGCACACCATTAATGTTCGCTGTATCGGCCGGTTGCATCAAATAAAGAAAGCACTCCCGTATAGAGGCTCGGCATGTAGGCTGACTCTGGTGGCCCTAATATACTGTATGACCCAGGCTCCGGTCTAGTTGTTGTCCCTTGACCGGGCGAAATACAAACCGAGCCGTTTCCCACAGATGTGGCCATGTCTGCACAATAATAGTAGGGTTCGTCCGCGCACCGGTGCCCTTACTAGGGATTGCCGTTTGATACGATTTTTTGGAAGAAAATCGTTCCAGCATACGTTGTTAAGGACCATCCCACACATGCGGCCAGCTTTATGTATTCACCAATCTGACCCGTGCAGTCCAGTAATATCGCATACAATAGTCATATAGGGTCAACTTCCAGTATGCCAAACTTTCTGAAAAGTGAAATTAGGTGCAAGGTCATTAGAGCAAAAATAAGTCCATCAGCTAGACCCACATCGACGTCCTTGAGCTTTTTTTTTTTTTTTTTTTTGAAAGTGTTCGGCCTCTCTAGCGGCATTTTGAGTCATCCCTCGCATATCTGACCGTCATGGAATAGACGTTCATGTTGTCGCGGCTTCTCTGCTGCACCTTTTAGTAGAGTGAAAACCCCATCGTTTTATTTGTTCGGGTCCTCCTTGGGGAACTTCCATGAAATAGTCGACATCCGATGGTTTCACCCCGCAACTGCCTGCGCCCAGTCCCTTTTATAGGAACCGTTTCTCCTGTTATCGTTTTCTCCAGGGCATTCCAGATAGAACTACCTGTTTGGTTAAAACCTTGGGTAACGACCCGACACTTCATTATGTTAGGATCATCCGATTTGTAAACCCCTACCGGGTACTGTAAATGGTTCTCCATGTAAGCTCCCTTATACAACATGCGGCAACATTATAATGACCAGGTGGCAAAGCATAGAGGACGCGGCTTTCTCATGCAGCGTAACTGACAGAAGCACGTTGACATGTCCCGTGTGCTAGATCCGGTAGTCTCTTTGGACTCCCAGGTACTTGTCTTGTGTCAATCTAGATGCCATGTATCTCTGGGCAACCTAATATGTTGAGTATATTGAGAAAACCATGCGAAGACAATGTAGGGACTTACTTTGTATAGCGAGTGTGTGTTCGTGTGTGGCAGGAGATGATGGGGTGGAAGAGCATGAAAGAAGGATATAGAAAGATGCAACCACCGCAGGTTTCCATGTGGCCTGCCGGGCTGTCTCCACATCTTTACCGTTTAAGACTTTTGTACTAGACTTTATGTTTCGTTGTAGCCCTAAACCCATAGTTGAGGGTGACTTCAGTGGAGTTATTAGCCTGCGGCCCATGTATTGTAGAATAGCAACATACCATAAGCAGTGAAAGAGTATGGCGTCGTTTGGATCTCTTGAAAGCTGTCTAGATTTCCTAGATGAAACGGTTGATCATGGCTGTTGTACTCGTCGATGATTATTATACTGATACTCTCTTAGGTGGAAGGTGTAGTGAGCAAAGTTGGGTCCTGCATGGAGAGGTCTTATAGAGGGATTTGTGCATAGTGAAGTTATAGCGGTATAGTTCATTCGTCGTTCTGCCCTGTTACATTCATAGAAGTATTGGTATTCTATTGTATCGTATATCCCTAATCATGGGTGGCTATCTCAGTATTCTAGCACGCGCAAGCTCTACTTCACGCCAGAGAAAATCAGCCAATGCATTGATGTTTCTTTCAGTAAGGTGATACATAGGTATTGCCCAGAGTGGAAAAACAGACATAACATGGAAAGCCCAGAGTGTTTTACCAGATCCACTAACGGGGGCTAATTGATCGACGAATCCAAAAGGCTCATACCAATTATATCCATTCGTGTAAAGAACTTCCCTCACACGATAATGCGGCTTTCCAGCCTCGACAGTGAGAAGAGAGCTGAGATGGTATGTGGTTCTTGTTCTGCACAAACTCCCCTGGTCGCTTAATCTTTCTCGTCTTGCTCCATTGACTTCACCGCAAATCTCACTCAACGATTCGTGAATTCTACCAGGGAATAAAACTACCCCATTATTTCCAATGATAATACCCGGTAATCCCGGTAAAGTTTGGCCAGGCCTAGCAGCTCAAGGCTAAGCAATTCACGGCATGCAACTAAGTGGGAGAGTCGGAATATGATTTACGATTCACGAAGGTAGGAAGGCCATAGACGTAATAAGCCTGGACTAGGGGACACCTTATGCTATAAATACTAGGCGTGGATGTCCCCACTACATTTTGGGCCGACTTGAACCTTCTCGGTTGGTCATGCAAAGCACGGATGGAAATAGATCATCAATACGGACTTTTGGGCAGATAAACACATGGGTAAACCCTCTTCAACGGTTTTTTTACTGGAAGTAAATTCGATGGTAGGGGAAGCCCTTTTGTGGCTCGGCTTGAATGCAATTTGCTGGTAATGTTACTATATCCTAGTTATATAAGCGGGATGCTCAATGATCTATAGGGTTTTGTTCGCAAGACCCCAAGACTTACTAGGTACTTGTCTGACGGTTTGGCCTTCATCAAATCCATGGTAAAGTTTGGTACAAAAAGACCAAGCATGTAGCGGAATATGTCTGAAATCTGCAAGACCTGTCCCCCAAATCCAATATGATTGGAGATATCCTACTATATTTATGGGCTCTAGCCTAGTATTGAAAACTGTTGGGAACTACCTGCTACACCATGCCACTAGAGCCTACGAGTTCCTTGTCTTCGATGGTCTTCCTTTTCTCCCCTTTTAAATCTCTCTGAGACAATTGATTCAATGCAGCCTGTCACCCCGACAAAAGTCTAAGCCAGGTCTACCGAGCATTCGGTAAAAGGGTCGTGACAAAAATTTTAGTCACTTTAATAAGATTCCACTCTGACGTGCAACTCAATTGCCCCTGCTTGAATATCATTAACGGCCATGCCCAGACCAACAGGCTTTCTAGGATCATATTGGTCAGCCTCACCCGCGGAATGAAACTATCAACCACAATGCAACCACAATGGTTATGATTCCAGCTCTACCGAAGCAACTAGCCTCAGAGATACCCTCCGAAGAACCGCAAGGGAGACACTGGGCGTTATACCAGATATAACGAGGCAGCTAAGCTCATCCGTAGATATTTACCGCTCTACTAAGCTCCCCTGCCCAAGATTGACTTTGGGGTTGTGATTGACTTGAAAAAGTAAGGTATAAGCTGTACCAATGGGCCTTGAGAAAGTATGGTCCATCATTGATCCGGTTCCACGGAACCGTCATCTCCAGAATCAGTGCCTGACACTTCGGTCCATATTGAACCATTTTCCATCATCGACACCAGAATGTCCAGGCTTTCCCCGAGGATGTTTACTAACCGCCAGCTCGTATTACCCTTGAAGATTCTCGCCCAGATTTGAACAACGTATAGTCCCAGCCGAAAAGGGTCGAGCTCTCCGCCTGGGTTAGAGGGGCCAGCTGCTGTGCGGGCTCGCATGGGGTGTATGGACGTCTCAGACACAATTTCACTAGTCCACAACAAAAGACGTTGTTCACCTTCTACCCCATAGATGAGGATTAGCAGGTAGGAGGCCGAGGGGTTTCAGTTATGAACTGCGGGGAGCCGACTCACCACATAATGGATAACGGTCCTTGGAATATCCAAGCTGATATAGCCACCGACTGAGGAACACAGCACATTCCAGACTGCAAACACATTGTTGAACACTCCAGAAGAAATGCTGACTTTTGGCCACAAAGTCGACTCCCAGCTTGACCGGTATGCTGAGTGCATGGGCTGAATGAAGGAGTGCCGGGATAAGGCGGAGATTACGATCCACGGGCGGGAGCTGGGTGAGAGCCACCGCAATACGAGTTGGATCACGGGAGCTCAGCGCTCGATATGGACCAAGATTGCAGACCAAGCGGGCGTAGGCTAGGGCCAGAAAGCCTGTCGACGTGAAGGGAATGGGGCCACTCGGGTTGTGGGGGTCCAAGCTGGATTCAGGAGCGCGCTGCCAGCCAAGCTTCCACCGATGAAGAGCACATCTATCACATTAATATTGGTGTCGAAAGCGAAGGCCAGAGATGAAAATCACTTACTCCAACTGACTCCGGAGACCATCGATACAAGCGGAAGGTGCCGCTCCAGCCAACTGCTGAACCATGAACAATCGTTGCAGAAGCGCGTGGATGAGAACGAAGTTTCCCAGTGGCGACGCGAAGTACGTTTGCGAGGCGGGAATTTCGCATGGTTTCCTTAACAAAGATGCTAAGGCGTCTTGGAACAGTGGCTGGCAGTCTTCGGCCGAACGCCCGGCTCGAGACCATTCACCGGCAGATTTGGCATTCCATTGAATGGAAGAGCAGGGTAGCCGCAATTGAATTTCGTCGTTGAGAATAGTGGGCGGGATGTCGTACACGATAGCCTGCAGAGTTAGATAGCAAAACACCACAAGCTTGATCCGGCGGTCTCCTTCAATCCTCGCCCATTCGTGCCAGTTCCCAACAGTAGTGATATTTGTATGCTCGGTGAAGGTGCTCTCACGTAGGCACCCCGCAAGAACCGTCTGGAATCCGATGGCTTCGCGTAGCAATTCAGGGTCATCATCCCAGGTCGCGAAGACGATCAGAAGCAAAAGGGCCCGAACGGTCTGCAACCGGGCCCACTTCGACTTTTCACTGAGGGTGTATGAAGGTCTCGGGTGCAAGGGGTTTGCTAGCCTCGAGCCAACCACTTCCTCGGAGTACTTGCGGGTTCGGCGGCGTGCTTGTTCCATGGACACAGCCTTCGCAGCATCAAACAGGGACAAGCCAACGTGGCTCTCAAACCTGTACTGGGCCCCAACCGCAGCAATCGATAATATAAATTCGGGGGCACATTCAACGACCTTGAATGTGGGCAGATGTATAAAAGGCAGATGATTGTGAAAACCTTCAAAATATCCTGAGATGAACCTAGTCAGAGCATGACGGGAGGGCAGCACAAATTCTGGAAGCACCGCACGGAACTGTTCGATGTTCTCGAGCAGGAGTGCATGTTGGGATGGTGTCACATTCCACTGTTCTGCCGTGTCAATGTAAGCCACTGTGAGAAATTAACACACGTCTGTCACTGGTCCCATCTGTCCCAGGGAAAGTGGCAGACATACTCGGCTCCTCTTCACCTACGCCAAGGATTCCGTCCTTGTCTTGGGAATATGGCGTGGATATTGGCAACTGGGGTGCACTGAGCAATTGTGCTTCAGACTGCCGAGATCCTAGACTGCTCGTATCCATGGAAGGCAGAGGAAATCCCTCCATTGTCAATGGTGTCAGCTGCAGATCGTTCTCGATCTGTGGTACTGCGAACATGTTCCAATCTGAACTGAGACCCATAGTGTCCACAAACTCCGTGAATTCCTGAACTGGATCAAGCAGAGGATCCACTCCAATTAGGTCCGTGGGAGGGTTTCCAACCCTGGCGGTACTGGGTAACGAGCTTGACGGAGTCTGAGGCATGGACACGGCTAGGAATTGAGGTGGGTCGGTGCTTTCCGGGCTTTGGATATCCTGCGTTGCACTTTGCGTATAACTACTACATGTTTGGCGCAAAGAAGATTCTGCATCGGGACTTCTACTGCCCACTCGGCACACATCAGATCAAACCCACTGTGACGCTTGTTGAATCGGTAGACGGGGTTATCTTGCCTGTTGCGGTGTCTGAGACGTCGGTGACGCGTGAGAAGATCACGTCGGGCGAATGAAAGACCACATCCACACTTGAAAGGTCTTTCGCCAGTATCTTCATAGAGACATCAGTTATACCGGTCAAGTGTTTTCCCGCTGATCGACACTGAAGATGGTATGGGCAGGGATGAGTCGTACGAGTCCGTGCATGACGGTGAAGATGCTCGACGCGGGAAAATGTGCGAGAGCAGATCGAACACCGAAGTGATTGGGATCGGTCGGCCATATCACCACGCAACACTGCACCGGAGTTTCCTTTCTCTATCCACCAGATTATAATTTCCCAAAGAAGGCTATTCTCGGTATCATGAATAGAATATGAGCAAATGAGAACAGGGGGTGGGGGTGGGCTCGATTAATCATCAAACTTGAACCGTGCATTAGTTACAACCCTATACTACAACCGACATTCGGCCATAGAAACGTTGAGGGCGAAATAGCGCCTCAGTAATAGGACGCGCGAAAATGAAGTGGGATCTTTTGTTTTGCCTCTTGCCCCTTTGCCAGGAGTGTGGCTGCTACCTTAGACAGTGGATCACCAGGCCAAATGGAGAGCGCAATATGAGCTTTTCGCCATTCCTCTTCCAGTATTTAAAATGGCATTTATCCTCGGGCTGAGACTAGGGGCCCTTAAGGAATTCATTTCGTCTCGATCTGCAGACATTCCCGAATATTTGCCTTTCTAGACTGTCCTGTTTGGCCTCGATCCTCCGGCCTCCTCCTCTTCTCTTAGACATGGACTCTCTTTTCAGAGATACTACTTTATATACTCTGTTACATCTTATCTGGCCGTCAACTCAGTGGCATCCTTGGGACGAGCAATGGATTTCCTATCAACAGGATCAGTTGATGCGCTCAGGCGGGGAGGGTTTTGGCTATCCAAATAGATCTTCTATGAGTCCAAACAACAGCAAACACCATGATATAGAGAAAGCCGGTCAAGGCGTCGATCGCCCTGAACAATCGACTGAGCCATTCAATGCCTTCAGTCAGCCATTGGATCACGAGAAACTGGAAGAAAAAGCAATCATTGTCGACTGGATACCGCACAATGATCTCGAGAATCCTCAGAACTGGCCTTTATGGAAGAAGCTTCTCACAGCATGCCAAATCTACGTCTATACCTTTGCGGTCTACATGGGTGGCGCTATCTTCGCCGCGAGCGAAGGTGGGATCCGGGATGAATTTGGAGTCAGCCACATTGTTTCTGGGTTGGGCTTCGCTCTTTATCTCATCGGCTACGGGGTAGGCCCTTTGGTCTTTAGTCCCATTTCAGAGATCCCAAGTGTAGGTCGCAATCCTCCTTATATTGTATCGCTTATCATTTTCGTCATTCTCTGCGTGCCGACAGCCATGACCAAAAATTACGCCGGCCTATTAGTTCTCCGCTTTCTCCTTGGTTTCTTTGGCTCACCCTGCCTGGCGACAGGCGGCGCCACTCTGGGCGACATGTTCCCGCTGCCCAAGCTACCCTTTGCCATGATGTTTTGGGCCTTCTCAATGACCACCGGGCCCGCCGTCGCACCCATAATCGGGGGGTTTAGTGTGGTTGTTAAAGGGTGGCGGTGGACCTCATGGGAAGTTCTCTGGTTGGCTGGTCCAGTGTGTGTCTTCATGCTTCTCTTCTTGCCAGAGACAAGCGCCGCGACTATCCTATATCGTCGCGCCAAGAGAATCCGTGCCCATCTGAACAGCGACAAGTACCATTCTCAGGGCGAGTTGGATCAAAAGAAAACGAAAGTCCGCGACATTGCCTTTGAAGCGCTGGTGCGCCCTTGGGAACTGATGTGTCTCGACCCTGTAATTCTGTACGTGGACGTGTACAGTTCTCTATGTTATGCAATTTTCTATAGCTTCTTCGAGGTAACCCGCGCCCTCAATTCCCCAATGCCTTCCATTCGCGGGGAACAGAAACCTGACCGCATGATATATAGTCATTCCCATACGTATATCGAGCCGCATACGGATTTTCCCTCGGGGAGGAGGGACTAGCATTCCTTAGCGTGACAACCGGCACCGCGGTCGCCGCAATCTGGTACATAAGCTACAACTACTTCATCGTGGAACGTCGGATCCGCGCTGGCATCTGGCCCACGCCCGAGGACCGGCTATTTTTGGCCCTATATTCTACCCCAATGATGCCGGTTGGGTTGTTCATCTTCGCGTGGACAAGTCGATCTGATGTCCACTGGGCCGTGAGCTGCCTAGGGGTCGCCATCAATACGTGCGGCTTGATTACCATGTACCAATGCGTCTTCCTGTATTTGCCTCTAGCGTATCCGCAGTACTCGGCCAGTCTCTTTGCTGGAAACGATTTCGTCCGATCAGCCTTGGCCGGTGGTGCGGTCCTCTTCTCGCGACCTCTATTCTCTAACCTTGGGGTCGACAAGGGAGTGTCTCTCCTTGGGGCTCTCACTGCCGGACTTGTTCCAGGGATCTTTATTTTGTACTGGTTCGGTGATCGGCTCAGAGCACGAAGTGTGTTTGCCAGTGTTTGAATCAGCTCACGCCGGTCTTGTTGAACATAAAAGCTTTCGTATTTGCCCTTTTCTTGGGTTGTTGTAGCTCTCTTAGTAATACTAGAACGTGTATCATAGTCCTTTTTTTTTTTTTTTTTATGTGCGGCGGAACCCAAATGCATGATAAGATCGAGGAGGCGGGTCACAATTAGTTCATATTTTTTTTATTTACGGTGGGGGTTGGTCTAACCGCTCGAATGTATGATTGGAACGATCAATTGCTGTTTTTCGGTGGGTTTGAATAGCTTCCATCAGATACAATGGACGCGGTCGTGCTCGGCGGTGATGTTCGACTCGCTTATGGATTACATTGACCTACATAAGCTACCCCACTAGCATATTCCAACAATTCAATAGCTTCTTTCTAGTTAACCACCATACTCTCCCTGTGTGGAAGGCAGCAAATTCGTACGTTGTTCTTCAGTATGTTTGCCGGCCGCCACCGCTTTTTTGGCTTCTTCTGTTCACGCTGACTCTATCAGTACCCATTGGAATACCCCACCTCGCCATCATGTGGGCCTACATTCAAGAATCCCTCTTCGGTCCAACGCCACCGTCAGTTACAATCACAGGCGCCAGATTCCCAGCCGACGGCTCATCACCTCACTTGGTATCCCTCAATACAACATCGCAGGGGGTAAGTGAAGGGCCTGACTCGTTCTTATTCCACGTACCAGATCTACGAGAGTTCTGGAAGACTTCACGAGCATGGAAATGGCGGGACATAGACAGATTCACACTAGAAAACCAACCGGTTCCGAACTGTAACGGGTTGTATATGGTCTTCTTTTCATTTGATCTTGACGAGCTACCCCTACACAAGAACTTTCCACCGGGACCTCTTGGTGTGCGTAATTTTGCTGGAGATGCTTTTGTTGTCAAGCTGAAGCCGCATGAATACGGGGGAAATGGCTGGGCGGAGTACGACAATGTGTCTCCGGAGTTTCTGGAATTGCCTATCATGGCTAGACAGCAGCCTTCTCCAGGTCTTCAAGGAGGATATGTTAGCTAGGGGCACTGAAGTATTGATATCCTTGGGTCTAGACCTCGACTGTGTGTCGATGGATCTCTACTGTTTAACATCTACGATTTCGTCTGTTAATAGGGTCCTTCTGGAAGAGTCAGAGGGTTATAAACAATGGCATATATCACCGGAAGTGGAATCCGAAGGGGTTTGAACATAAATCGTGCCCTACATGTGGAAATGCTGATGCAGGACGATGTATGAGTGTTGGCTCCACTGTTCAGCTCGGCTCATTCAATGGCTTGATCAAGAAATACAATCAGCCAATTATAAGATATTTCGTGTCAAGATCGGCATTACGAGACTCGGCGCAGCTGAAAGAAGCGGAGAAAGAAAGTGGTGTTCAGTATATCTGCAGGCTGGGTGGGGTATTTGACTTAACAGTTCCAATGCAAAACAAAAGAGTGTGATGATCCCGGACTACCTGTTTTCTGCTTTCCTTAGGATACTTCATTCAGGATATACCTCTAAGTACTATACTTAATCAACTTTTGTCCAATATTCAGCCATGTCTCTTCTTGAGTTTACCGGCTCTTCGTTCATTGCTGGTTCTCTTTGTAGAGACCCGTGCCTTTTTATACATCACACTGTATGTGATCCGTCTGCTTATCAAATAACGTACATAGGGAACCAAGTCTTTCTCAAGTCCAACCTGGCCATTTTCAGTTCTTGAAAATTTTTATTCACAGTAGCTTATACACATATACAACTGTAAGCAGCGAAAGCAGGCAGCATATCACCATCAATCCAATCCACTTCACCAAGTCCCACCCCACCAAACGCCTGAAGCTGAGTTCACGAAACCAGCTATCGATATTCACATTGCTCTCCCTGCTCTATATCAGCCGAAGACAACTGGCGGTTAGGATGTATCGCAATATGCGTCTTTGGCAGATTTTCCAAGTGTCTAATCTCCTCAAAGATATAGATGTCGACCAGTTTATTAACATTCCACTGATCCTGGGCCGGCCAGGAGCGCGTGCGCGGTAAGGGAGAACCCTCTACGCTGGAGTCACCTTTTTTGCCCCGGAGCCTACCTAAAAGTGATCTCATTTTGGGCCAGTGGTGCTGTATAAAGACAGGGAGGACGAGGAGACACGAGCAAAGGAGGGCATGGTCACATTCGACCGCGCTACTGTAATAATTGTAAGTCGGAGGTCTGATATAGTCATTGGCGGAGACAGACTTACGCCCAATATCCCACGCCTCCAACGAATTTTACATTCCATAATACGTTAGGATCTTTCATTTTCGCGGTATGAACGACACGTATGATGCTTGCGGTGCATGCACTGTGTATCCGTTAGCTGTGTCCTGGAATTGAGATCGAAGAGCTGAGGCCAAAGAGGTGAAATCACGCACCTAGCTCCTAGAACAATGATGGCTAGAGCTTTCAACTTCTGCAGTGGAGGTACCTTCAATCTTAATACCGATGGTATGGGTAGTACAAGGACGTATATATCTGTGGTCATGGCGAGTAGCCCTGAGAAGAAAATGGGGACTATTCGCGGGATGTTTGGCTTGACTGCCGGATCCCCGAATTTCTCAAATGGTGTGAAGGTGTAGTGAGCGACAGCCACCAAGGCAAGGGTTCCACTTGCTTCAAAAACGATGCCGATGATAATTAGGACTTTTAAGCTGGCCCGGGAGGAGAAGAGGCGGTAGTAGAAGCAGAGGATGGTGAGTTTGGAAAACGCTAGACAGAGGATATATGAAATGAAGCTATGGAAGGTAGTCTAGTCTCGTTATTAGAGGCGATTAATTCTTTGTTATGGTGCTCGTTCTTACTTTCGTGATCTCTGCAGCTGCGCTACGTGGGATATCCCAGACGTGACGTCCGACTCCCAAGGCACGACCTGCGAGGCCAGTTAGCCGCTGTTGCGAAAGGAAGCTCGGGGCTACATGCCATGGATAACGGTAGCTGCAAAGCACACAGATAGAACCTGCTCTCTATACTTTTAGTCTCTTTAAGATCCATTATGTACAGAAATGCGTACATAAGCAATGATACAGAGGTCTACCACCATTCAGTCATATTATTTCCGTGTATGGGTAGAAGCAACTTACAGTCATCGATCGCAAGCGAAGCTCGTATGATAACTCGTCGTGTATAGAGTCGCATCACCAGAGCCATGGAGTTAAAGGTCAAGTAAAACGTTATGAAAGGGATGCAGCCTTGAAGCTGGTTCCGGGAGTTGATAAAATTGGGCTCTACCCCCGGTGGAGGGGGTAAGATACCCTTCTGGGTCGACATGAATCAAGTGAGATAGCTTCATGACTTGAAGCATGAAACAAGAGAGCCTTCACGTACAGGTCGATGAATGGGGATTTCTCTCTGATATAGTACTGGTAGCAGGCAGTGGTGCCGCTCGGAACAAAGAAATGTCAATCGTCCAAACTCAGTCTTCGGATTTCTAGTTACCACGGCAATTCACCGATTCATGTCTAGTCCGGCACTTCATTTCGTCACTTTTTCCCCAGGCTTCTTTGTTTACTTTGTTGGTGGAGAGCATTGGATTACATTCCACGAGAATAGCGGGAAGTATATTAGGGCTTGGACGGAGGGGGGGGGTTTGCTACCCTAAATGGGATAGCTACGGATGATGTACCAAGTCAGTGTTGGGTATTAAGTATATCGATTTCTATAACACAAGGCAGAAGCCATTTCCAAGAGAAGTAAGCAACACATTAGGAAAAGGCAGGGGTCCGTGTAAGAATGAAACACATTGGAGTGCACGGCAACAATGAATGAATGTTCCATCGCGGATGCTCTTCCGCAAAAGACCTGACCGTCACACCATCCAGACGCTCTGTCAAAACACACAGCCGGGGTGGCATCGATAGGTCGTATTCCTATTCGATATCATATCGAATGGCAAATCGGTGGTCTGGACCGTTTCTATGCCTGAGCCCGGAGAAACAGGTGTTCACAAAATTGAGACCGTTACTCATGGCTACAGACTAGGCAGGTGCAACAGACTAACAGTACTACAATCGACTAGGAAACTCGTGTGAGATGTCTGTCTGCTGGTGTTTGACAACCGATCTACCTCGCATACTTTGTGCAGCTAGTCTATCTAAGTAAATGCATTGTGGCCATACGTATCGTGATTATAAGATACCAAAATCAGTCCAGTACTATTTCACTATCAAACATCATTCTACATACCGAGGTATACATTGAAATAATCGGTCATAATCATATGATAGGATGAAACATAATACCTGAAATTCCAACATTCCTCCCTTTTACTGGCTATGCGAATGTGATCTTCATACGCTCAGGACTCCAGGCAAACTCACCCGAGTCAACAAAGAAAGTGCTGCACGTCATGTTTAATTCCGGATAATTATCACATTCTGAAGTCGACCAACCGATGGAGGATGCGCTTTTCATCCGAAGAAGGTCGTGAGTCTCAGACAGCTTGATCATCATGAACTAGGGTTCCGGATCTGCGGGTGTTAACTCAGCAGTATATTCGGGCTTTGTATCAGGCTGAAGACGCAGAGTCAAAGGTAGTGCGAGGCATCAAACTAGCATAATATTCATCCAGCTCCAACGTCCTCCTACACCGCCACAAACGCTGCATGTTAGGCAGTTTTGGTCAAGTTTTGCGCCCACGCGTCTGGGGTTTGTTTCTTTCACTCCAGTGGCTTCTTGACCTTTGCACGTAGCATCTGATCGGCTTCCTTGAAAGAATATTCCTTTCAATTACCAAAAAGTGATACAGGTAACCAATTTTCAAAGTACTTTTCGCTATTGGGCATATCAAGTCCGAGGTTCAAGGAAGGAAGTTGACTGTAGCATCCGAATTGGGAATAGCGCCAACCCTGCCACCACATCAATTGATAAAATCGATCTCATCTTGAAAATCTACCGTCTTTCCAACCCCAAATAGACCAATCATCCAGGGGAAAACAGAATGCCACCTCGTAACCGCCCCCGACCACGAACCACATGGTGGATGCGCCTCCGCCGATTCATCTACACATTCGAGACACCACTCCACCTCCGTGGAACTTTCGTCCGTCTCAGCCACCAACACAAGTATCCATTCATACACAATGTGTAAATAATCTTAAATAACTGATTCGTCTGTATTAATGGAAAGAATACACTAGGTGAACGGCTACTATACCCAGTCCCAACCGAGATTAGTAGTAAGCTTGTAATAACAAGGCAGTTATTTTCGATGCCCTTACTGGATTTTCTTGGGGTCTGTGCTAAGTTCCCAGCCTCAACAGTATAACAACGATATTAAATAACGCGAACGACATACCATCTCCGGCCTAGTGACCGTGTCCCAATACATCAGTGCTACGTTGCCCTAGAGCACGGTCCGCTCTAGGTCGCCCCCGGTGCAACCCAGGAAATGCTGTGCTCCTTTGCCCAAACTTTGAAGGCTAGAGTAGGATGAAACTCAAAGGAAAAGTATATATAGGAAAAGTACGAATAAGGGCGGGTGGTTGGATGGGGATGTCGCCCTGAATAACGGTTTAGGGCTGCGTGTAAGGCATCTTTTCCTATCCTCTGCGCCAGTGTAAGGTTTGGGGCTTGGAAATGTGGTGCAGTGGTTCCGATTTGGGATGTTGCACGGGTGGCGTGTATTATTAGGCGATAGGGCACATGGTGTGGGTGTATAATAAATCTTCATGGTTAAGTGACGAAGAATATAGTACAGTAAGTACATCTTCAAATATAGAGGGATAAATGAGGTTAACTAGCGTAGGATCATCCACCACCATTCTTGGAGTATCCATCCAGCTTCCTTTTCGCCATTTGGGCCTTCCTTTCGCATGACCCCGATCTCTGTCATCCATTTCAGCAGGAGCTCGATTTCCCATGCTCCCATCGTAGGTTTGATCATGCTGGCAATGCTCGCGGCGCTAAGCCCCGGTCTGTTGGCAACACAACCCGCTACTGCCGCAACAGCCAAATCCCACAGTAGCTTGATGAAGCCACCGTGAATATCGCACCATATAGGGATTTTTTCTGGTACCCAGGCCACCCCGTTGTTCGTGGCTCGGGGCGGACAGGGCGCCGGAACATCGTTGAGTTCCTTCTCAATCGGGTTCCCGTACACGTAGTTTTCTTCAACTGGGTACAGCTCAACTCCGAAGCGGAGCTTATCCTTGTCTATTTGTCTGGTCAGGTAGCCACCCTCTGTCAACCCGTATTTATCGCGTGGAGGATCCCGCGGTCTCAAGATGACTCTGCGCGCGGCCACTAGGTTGATCATTGCTAGTATGTCGCCGTCTTCGGCATGATATTTAATCTCAAATTTGCCTTCGGATTGTAGTGCTGGGTCGAGCATATGCGTTTTGAATCTGGCTGCCCGTCGGAGCTGGGTGCTTTCAATCAATCGCTTGCGTCCCAATGCCTGGAGGAAGTGATCTGTGATGTCGAAGTTGCGGCCCGGCGTGATCCTGCCCCTGTTACCCATTGATATGATCCTCTCTGTTACCAACGAATCGATGGCGCTATCTATAAAATTGCCCATGTATGATAGTGCTTGCCGTGCCTCAGCGGGTCTGTATGCCTCTTCGGGAGTAACGACATTGGCCCGAATCCATGATTTGACCACTTCCAAGCGAGAAAGATCCTGCTTCCGAGGGGTAGGCGACTTGTGTTTATCGATCAGAGGGAGAGCGAATGGAACGCTCGCGAAAAGGTTACGCTTGCGATTGATGGTCAATGGCTGAGTGGTCTGATAGATATCATCCAGAGTGCTCGGCGGTTCCTCGCGAATCTCAAATACACTGTCGAATTGCTCTCTTGTAGCAGGGAGGTCCGGAAGAAGCTTTTCGGACTTGGGGACATCGAGCTGTGCGTTGGCCCAGTCGACAATCCATTCCCAATCATACCCCTCGAGATCATCGTAATTGATCGGAGGAACTTGGCCATTGGCGTATGCTTCAAGATAACGCTCTTGGAAGTCGCTCTGCATTTTCGCCAACTGGAGCCGGTTCTTGCTTAACACATACTTCCCTTTTGCTTGGATGAAAAGCGGATCATGGGCCGGAAAGCTGCTAGAAAAGAGCGCCCAGTCGACGACCTTACCTTCATAACCCCCAGCTAAGGCACGAACGACAACAATCGCAACCATGATCCTTTGAGTCAGCAAGTGCGGCAATTGATAACCAGTGCGATTCCGGCGAGCAGGCGCTCGAGACCCAGTGGGTTGTAATGTTGTATCGAACTCATCGCCAGCTGCCATTGATGCAGTGAGCTTCTCCAAGCGACGGTTCCGTGCTATTCCAGGGGCCATTGTCCGAGATATCGGGATTCGGTTAGGTTCGAGAAGCGTCATTGCGCCAAAAGTGCCAGGCTGCGCAGGCAAATCGGATTGGCGCCCCCTTTGTCTAGTAACCCTCGGCTCTAGCGGGGGGCGCGTTGGAAGCTCCGGTTCATCAATGTCAAACCGTATGTCACCCTGCATTGGAGCGCTATCAAAACTATCCTGCACAGTCTGGTTGATGTACCAAAGGTCTGCGCTCTTCTTGTCAAGCAGTCCTTCGTTTTGAAGTTCCCATCGCATAATCACATTCGTATCATAAAAGAACCGGTTCGATCGGGGGTCTGCACTTTCGGAATAGTCAACAGTGCGTCGCCGTGTCTGGCTAAACAAGTCGTCAAGTGAATGAGGCAGCTCGGGTGTTTTGTCGCTGAAGGTCTCAAGAGCACGCGGTGACTCGCGCACTTTCTTCTTCTGGTCATGCCTTGCAGCCCGCAGAGCAGCAAGGCCTCCGTCTGTTGAAAAGGTTCCTGTATTTGCATTGAACGTCTGCCTTGAGTTCATCAGCATCGCGTATGGAGCCATAGACGATATGGGAATCCAAAGGCGTTTCATTCTCCGGCCACCTTCGGCGGTCGAGCCGTCCTGCGCTTGAAGTACAGAAGATCGACGTCCCGCTTTGATCCGCTTTCTACCTTGGTTGGCTATTTGATCAGGTCTTGCAGCAGCAGTCATTCCAGGAATAGCAGAGTCTTGTGCCACCGGTCGCTGGAGTGACAAGAGTCGAACCACTTTTGAATGATTTTCTTTCCCTTCCCCAATCCTCTGCAGCAGTCGCCTCTGAACGCTCAGACCCTTCCTCTTCTCCTGGGCTACAACAAAGCCTGGTTTATACTGCAATTGTACTGTGAGCGCTGACTCGACAGGAAGTTTGGAATACGTGTTGGGGTCTCTGCCATCTTTTCCAAAAGTAACTCTCCTTGCGCCAGTCTTCGTCATTTCGGGATCGTAGTCGACATTATCTGGAATGTAATGGCGGGAGCCTGCAGCCAGCATCTTTTTCTGCATATCCATAACCAGAGGGTCATCCGGCCGCATGTCAGGTTTGATTATGATATTCTTTGTTACCATGACCCCTTTGTTATCCTTGCCACTAAAGGTTAATTGGCGAAGCTTTCCAGCATCAATTATGTGTTTCACAGTTGCTTTGATCGTACGAAGGTCGGGGGTTTCTTTGTACTTTGTCTTCCTCCACGCAGTCGCGAATGGGTACCAGATCTCAGTTCCCATGGGGAATGCCCCGCCAGCTTTTTCGACGATGTCCAAGATGATCTTTCGCCGAATGAAACCGACAGACCCTTTCTTTTCCTTCACATTTTCTCTTGATTTGCTGTTCTCAGCCAGTGCTTCCATATTTATCGGGGCTCCGCTCAAACCATTGGCATCCTTGGGGTGCTCCAAGGGATTGGCGTTGACTTCTTGGCCATGATTACTCTCTAGAACAGCCTGAGATGCCGGTGTCATGTTCATTGCAGTTCTATCTGTCTCGGCAGTACTTTCCTCTGTCTCCATTGGTGTAGAGCCATTTAAGTCGCTAACAGACGCTTGATCTGCTGGGGGGTTGTCTTTAGCGCCTGTAGCGTCTTTGTTTCCCTCATTTCGGACTGCTTCGCGAGGCTTCTTGGACGGTGTCTCTAGGACCTGTGTCGCATGAACGTTGCTCTCTCTTAGACTTTTCTCAGTTATAACACCTTGGCTAGTTTGGCTTGGTGACTCAGCCCTCTTCCGTTTCAATTGCTTTCCTTGGGTTTTATCATCGTTGCCAACGTCAGACTTATCCTGTGTCGGGTCTCCAACTGGAGCGCCCTCGGCATTTTCGGTATATGTCATAGGAACATTATTAGACTTAGTAGTAAAGTCGGTAATGCGTCGCTGTTTTGCAGTGCGCATAGTCGCTGGGCTAGGTCCAAGTTTAGATGTGGGCTGCCTTGAGTGTCTTTTTATACCTCGGGAAGGTGTGGCATTCATATCTTCAGGTGCATCCATGGCCTTGCCCGTCGTGGCAGGTGTGGGAACAGGTGTTTCTTCGACAGTCTCTTCGACAGTCTGTTCCCGAGAGTGCTGTTGTGATCCGCCGCCTTGGCCGCCTGTTTCAGCCTCTTCAGTAAACCAGGGAAAAGACAAAAGCTTCGGGGACTTGAATACAGCAATCCGACTGATCCTTGGACGACCTTGTCTTTTACCAGTTGGTCTTCGCCTTCCACGTGGTGTGACATAAACTCCAGAATTCGGACGTTTAATCAACAGAGCGCTGTACTCCGTCCAAGTCTCATCCAAACCAAGAGCTCTAAGCTTCTCGATCTCAGACATTCCTTGGAACTTTTCAGACTCATCCCTTGGTCCTTTTCGACGTTTAATAGTCGAGACAGGGCTTCCTAGGGCGCTATCGCCCATCTCTGAATCTGATACATCTAGACGTGCTCTTTTCGGTCTGATCGGGGTTACTATGTCAGAACCTGCAGCAAGCTTTCTACTTCCCGCTGGCGCTTTGGTTTGCCCACAGTGGAGTGCTAAGAATTGTTAGTGCTTTAGATAACAACATCGTTCGTCAGGTTTAGAGCAACCCACCGTATGTTCCATCTTTAAGTCGAATTGCTGCGGCGTCAGTGTTGGTGGCATTGTAGCTTGACGGGTCCACTGCCACTATGCATTCCAGAAGAGAAACATCGCCGTTTTTCACGAGCTCTTTCGCAGGGACAGCCACGGGTAGTCCATACTCGTCCAGCTCGGGCAGTGCGTCAACAGGTGGCGCACGAATCTTGTCCACCTTCGGATTTTTCGGGGTGAATTCAACAGCTTCCCAGGCTGACTCGCCCGCCTCAACAAGCTTTGCAAAGTTTGTTGCGGTGAAATGGTTATACTGGGTTATAGTGCGGTTGAGTACCGTGTCTCGTACAATAGCCAAGTGGCGTAGGTGCAACGGTTGTGATAGCTGCCAACATTCTACCAGGCGACTCATTGTGTTCTCCAGTGGGCGACGGTAGAAACCACCAAAGCATTTCCTGATGATTTGCTGGAGGGTAGGTCAGATTACATTCCTTCAGTGATGACAGGTAGTTCCTTTTTTCTTTTCTTTTTTTTTTTTTTTTTTTCCTTTTGTTTCTTCAATCTAACGCACCTGGTTCATAATACCCTCAGTCCCCGCATTTTCAACAACGTCAAGAATCAGGTTGTGGATTGTCTGGTCTGGAGTCCAGAGAGGAAGAATCCGACCAGCTTCATCTGTATCCTCTTCTCTTTTCATCACATTGAGCGTTTCACCATTATTCAGCAGAGGAGATTCCCTGGTCGCATCAGTGGGCTCTACATCTTCATCAAGTTCCGCATTATCATCCTGCTCCAGATTAGTTGAGATGCCTCGACTGAATTCATGGAACAGCTCCAAATCCTTTTCAGTCGGTTCTCGTATAAGCTTCACGCAAGCAAAATAATGTTTATCATTCTCAGAAAACTGCGACATGGCCTTGACACGCTTTAAGACACCTATGCGTTCAAATTTCCGCAGAGCACGAGAGAGGATACGCCACCGCCATCTATCGGCAAAGCCGAGGATTTTCTTAAGATCGACACGGGAAATGATCTCATGCTCCCGAAGGATACTGAAAAGCTGCTTGCTGAATTCCTTATAGTCGATCACTTGTGGTTGCCCCGAGGATTGATTTTTTGTCACTTCTGTAGATGATTGCTCTGTTTGCATAAATTTACGTAGGGTGCAAAGACTAGTTCGGGTTGATTTGATCTGGATAGCCCTCTTCTCAATGTAGCCTTTTTGCTGCAGTTGGTCAGTTCGCTTGGGGACTGAGCGCTTGTCTTGGCCGCTCAGTTTCACCAATTCAGTTTGAGCAATACCATTTGACTTGCGCGATGCGATGATAGATAGTAGAGCAAATTCTGTAGCAAGAAGTTTGTTCTCGTCCGGTTCATGGCCTGTGATGGCAAGCCATGTCCTCTCCTTTGAGACAAAAACACGGATTGGGTGTTGGGCAGTATGCTCAGAGCCGGGTGCATCATTAACACGGCGTTCTACATCACTAAGACTCAGAGCATTGCATTCTCTATTTTCGCCAATAGAAACTTCAGGGTTTCTTGCTAACCACGACCAGACTTTCTCCTGGAATCTGCGGTCGACAACATGGCTGCGGGTGGATGCATCCTGTGCAGCCTTGGCATAGAAAGTATTGATGAACGTCAAGATATCGGAAGGAGAAGCGCCTGGAGTATGTTAGTCTGCTTATACTTCTGATGGTACATCCAATTGTGTTATTTAAATTTGAAAATAAAAAGAGAGTTTTGATCCAAGCGCCAGCAGAAGGAGGATGCAGGGGTTTGGATATCAAATTGCCAAAATTAGAGTCGGTGCTGCAGTAGTGGACCCTCGCAACAATAACACAAAGAAAGACCACAAACTGACCTTGATCACCGCAGAGGGCAATCTCTGCCAGGAGAAAATCAATCAGTTCTCGTAGACTAGGGGCCATCCTATTTACATGGCTTAATCGCGGCCAATAGGTAAGGGAAGGGGTGGGATAAAAAATTTTGTCGAGTCCCCATTGGATCTCAACTCATCACCTGGGCGATAATCTCTCCGTCGAAAAAAGAAATTTGACAAGCCTTTGACACGTTGAGCGCGAGATTCGAACCATCGCCGTAGAGCGAAAATTGTGTGCAGCAAATTGGTGGGGGTGGCGGGTCTTTCAGCACGTGATGTATGCCATGGTTCTCAGGCACCAGGTGATATAATTCATTCATTTCCGAATGAGGTTAAAATATGATAGTAGCACCTCTCAGTCCCTTCAAACTAAACGAGAAGGGCTAAAAAGATAAGAATTCACCAGCTGTCCACCAATCCAAGGCAGTTCAGGATACACCATCAGTGTTACTTGAATTCGCTGCACAATATACTATCATAATTAGTCATACAGCATTCGATTTCTCGGCATAACGCACCTAATGCATCATTCGAATGGATCGTCGCTGATCGGCCGGCTAGACCGGGTTCGCCGTATACCTTATCCAAGTTCCAACTTTTACCTGAATTTCTGCAGAACGAGCAATTCAACAAACCGAAAAGCAAAGAATTTTAGGATATTTATTCGACTCGTGCCTGGTTCAATAGTGATAACAGATTTCGGTCTGCTACATCGATTCATCCGAACATATCCTTGACAAGTCGATCAATTCTCGAACTCAGGTATATACAAGTAGATACTTTTTGAATCGGCACTGTCATCGGAAGTTCGGCGACAATCAACCGCCGATAACAATATACGGAACCAATAATATCCAAAACTCTCTTCGAATTTTTGATCCTACGGAAAATAATATCTTAAGCACTCCGATGATCAGGCAGGTATGAACAGTGTAAGGTATTTTATGGTTATTTGTCGGAGGGAAAGGTAATCAGAGATGCTTGTTGTTGATGATGTTGTTCCTCGGCATACCGCCTTGGACATTTAACTCATTAACCAAACATACACTTTGTATTCTCATACCGATGTCAAATGACATCACGGGGTCCCGGTTACGTCAGGCACCTTGATTGTTCAACCCAAAATGCGGAAAAAAGTCTAATACTTTACAGCCAGACCGAAAAAGAAATAACTCCATGCGTTTCCGGTTCTTTTTCTCTTTCTCGACCTTGAACAATCTTCTACCATTTTGATGCACTCAATAAATTGGTTGCATCCCAAATAAAACTATCACCAATCCCAACGCGCATGGACAGCGGCAATACTCAGCCCCGTTCCTCGCCACTCACACTCGTATCATTTCTACCATTCTTCGATCACACCATGAATCTCGTTGCATGACAATCTCCCTTTCATTGATCTCGTTCAGCAACAATACTTGCCGAACCCCAATTAATCTCCGTATATCCTCACCATCGCTAGGGATATAGCGATGGAAGAAGGAACCGCCAGTACCAACCCTTTAGAACCTCCGCCGCTCCCTTACTCACTACGGACACGAAAGAAGTCAATCGCATTTTTCTGGATATTTTTCGTTTTTGACACCCTCGCTCAACCTGTGGCACTCTACTTCGGTCTGTGGTATGGCACAAACCTGTCGCATAATTTAGGTATGTCCCTTGCATAGTGTTTACTGTATACACAGACATGGCATACGTGCTAACCAACTCGTGCAATTAGTTTTTACCATTGTGACAGCTGCATTAGGAGGAATTTCTGTATTTGAATACTTCTACCGGCTCTACAACTTATTCCGAAAGGATTCTCGCGCTCGGCCGTTGAATGCACGGAAATCATGGGTAGGCTTGATCAAAATACCCCGAGGGTAGAATATATCGGGAACTGACATTCCATTCGCAGCTGGACTTCTTCCATATTAATTTCACCATTGTCTGGTTGATCCTCGCCGTTGAACTTATTGTGTAAGTTTTGGAAGCTTTCACTGTTCGGATGCTTGCTGTTTTGTATACTAACAAGAAACCAGAGGAACGGTCCAGGAGGAACCCTATGGTAACGTCCCCTACCGTTTATTGCGCTCACCCATACTTACATATCTATAGTGAGACTAGTAGCTATGGTCCTCCCGAGCGTCATGTTTTACTTCGGTGGTGTCTACTTGGCCCTCGATGTTCTCCGTGTGCTAGGGTTCAAGGCCCCTTTCCGGATTTCCTCGACCCCAAAGGGCTCTACGATGCCCACGGCTCTCTATGTTATGATCGAAGATGTGGTAGCAGTGGATGGGGGCGGGGGCCAGAAATACCGGTATGCGCTTCGAGTCCGGTATCTTTCCAGCCCATACTTCCGCCGGATGCTCTTTCAAATGAACTGTTTCTGGGCCGGGGGCTCTATTGTTTTCGCTGCTGTCATCACTGCAATTGTCTTTACGACACCAAAGCCTGTTGCGTACACGGTAAATCGCCCATTCCGCTGTTGGCGGTTTATTATATGGAAAGCTGACGAACATTTTCTTCATAGCTTGGATGGTCCTTACCATTCGTTTGGGCCGGCGTCTGGACGCTCATCACCATCCCGTGGGTCCAAAGTGATCTTCGTCGCGAGAAGAAAGCATGGGCTGAAAACCGCGGCCAAGGAGGCATTCCCTATACGGATGATATTAGCGCGCCGGCTGATCGGACTCGACTCGAGTCGATACACGAACATCTGTGGCCTTGGGGCCGCGAGAAAAACAAGGAACAGCCCTCGACGCAATCTACCCCGTCTGACGGCCATTCCAACGTATGATTCAATATTTTGCGTGACAAAAAGGCGCTAGTTGTGAACAGCAAGGTTAACGACGATATGCTTTAAATCCCACATGTATCCAATGTATTCTATATAGATACCCTAGCTCTAATGTATTCAGGTCAATGTATATTTTTGCCCAATGTTTGCGTCTAGTTGATAATGAGGCTGCTAGCCAATCTTGACATGACCACTCCCGTCAGAATCCGTCGTATCATGAACGGTTAAGGAGTCAGTCACATCGAATATCAGCCGGGTCCAAAGCGGCGGATGGTTCCGCAGGGCATCAGAACGCGCCGGATGCCCACGCGCATGAGCTTGGCATTAGCAAATAGGGATACCAAGCAAGGAACTAAGGTTACCAGACATCGCACTGGTTCGCCCGCTTTGCAAAACCGTTGGCTATATCCAGAGACTCCAATATCTAACCCCTGGGTTTAAGAGGCCCATCACAATGCTGGAAAGTGAGTTCAACTCTTCGGCCGCAGAGCATAGAACCTCACAGGAAGCAGCTTGAAATTCTTCGGGAATCCGAGCTGCAATTCAGACGTGACAACAATCAACCCGGCCTGCTTGAAAATCTCTTTGAACTTCTCATCCGTCCTTGTCACGCTACTATCCTCGTCATCATACATATCATTTCCATTGGGATCAGTCGATTGATTCTCCTTGACTATCACAATTCCCGTCTCTGTCAAAGATTCGCGACACCGCACAAAGTACTCGGCCAACTGGACATCCGTTAAATGTCCGACGCAGAATTGAGTCCAGATTAGGTCATATTTCTTCTCTGGATACCACCCCTCCAACCCGACGGTATAAATATCGCCCACGACACCAGAGCGCTTCAGAGCGCTGTCACGTATCACCTGGGTGAATTTCTCGACCGGCTCGACTGCGTCCACAGTTTCGCATACGTCCTTGAGGAACCCCTCCGTTACGCGCCCCACCCCCGCACCGCAGTCAGCTCCCAGCTTCAATTTCCCTTCGGTGGTGCAACCGGGCACCAATCGTCGGACCTTAGAAAGAAAGCTTTTCGAACCGCGTAGATCAATGCGTGTATACCATGGGTAACTCCCCAGCATACCCAGCATGGTATTGGAGTTGGCAGCGACGCTGTTCCAGTATCGGATGGAAGCGGCATGGTCGATCTTAGAATCTGGGGTTATCATCGCGGGTTTCTCCGAGTTGGCCTCGCCGGGCCCCGATGCGACTGGTTCAGAAGCCATCGCGACGGCTTGTCACTAAACGAGTTCCTCTGCCGTGAATGTAGCTTCTCAGTACCCTTGGAGATTTTTTGATGAGAAATCACGGAATTTCCGTCGGCTTATGTAATCTATTCCGGGAAACTGTACACTGTGATTGGCCAGAATCGAGGCAGTTACTGTCAACATACATTCACGACGAGTCTACCAAGACATATCAACATTCTCAAGCAGTAGAAGAATCAGCAGCAGAGATGGACGAATCGCCGGGTGAAGAACATCTCGCCTTCACAGAATGGGCTATCTCGAAAGGGATCGAGATCAATGGCATAGCGCCAGCTCGATTCCCCGGCCGCCGGTTAGGAATGATTGCAACGAAGACCATAGAAGTGAGTATGTCAACAAACATAACCATACAACCTTGCTACAATGACTGACAAGCCATTACGAGAAAGGAGGGAGAAGTTATGCTCACCGTCCCACAAACGGCGATGCTATCCATTGACTCTATCCCGTCTTCATTCGTGGATCTCTTCCCCGAGGGATCAACCATCCACGGCATTCTAGCCGCATATCTCACGCACGGGGACGTCAAAACCCTGAAAGAGATAGACGCCTGGCGCAACGTCTGGCCAAACTGGCAGGAGCTCGAAGATAGCACGCCTATACTATGGCCAGCTCATCTCCGACGGTCTAATTCGGCCTTTGAAGATGATGGGGGCAATTCCTCGACACCAAGTCTTCTGCCCCCTTCTGTATCTGGGCTATGGAATTCTTTCGAAAACGTGCCCGTAGGCGTCGACTACGACACCAGGTATCAGAACATGCTCGCGCAAGAGGAAAAGCGACTCAGACACGCCTGGGAACAGGTTCTCTCCGTGTTCCCTAAAACGGAGTGGAAGACATTCGCATATTACTGGCTCATCATCAACTCAAGAAGCTTCTACTATATCTCCCCCGGCAAGGACGAACCGGAGGATTGGAACGACGCCATCGCCATGGTTCCTTATGCTGATTATTTCAATCACGAGGATAACGCGGTTAGCCCACTCATCCTTTCACTTACTTCTTAACTTCCCTACCTAACAGATAAAAAGGCATGTGAAGTCAGATTCGACCATATCGACTACACATTCCGAGCAACCAAACGATACGGTAAAAATCGACCCCAACCCCATTTACCTAAACTACGGTAGAAGAATATTCCCAAATGAAACTAACCATCCCCACAGAAAAAGGCTCAGAAATCTACATGAGCTACGGCGCCCACTCGAACGACTTTCTCTTCGTCGAATGTCAGTTCCCCTTGCACCACTCCCAATTATCTCCATCTAACAAAAAGAGAAATCCATAGACGGCTTCTTCCTCGACAACAACGAATCCGACTCAATATACCTGGACGACATAATCTTCCAAGACCTAACAATAACGGACAAAAAAGAATTAGTCCATCAAGACTGTTTCGGGTACGTCAACGTCCCACTCTCTCACCACGGCCCCTCGCCATCCCCCCATCCCATTTATACTAACAAAAAATCCCCAAAAAAGCAACTTCGAAGTCACAGAAACTGGAGTAACCGCCAGTATCGAAACAGCAGCCTGTCTCAAATACATGTCAAAGCGGGACTTCCGGATCTATATCGAGGGCCGGTCGAAACGGGCCTTCGATGCGGAGAAATCGGCAGAGGTGATTCGGGGCTGGATTCGGGTTTATCTTGAGGAGTGTGAGAAAACGATGGAGATTATTGGGTCTATGTTGGAGAAGTTGGGTGGGTCTCGGAGACGTAGTAGTGATGGGAAGAAGTGGGAGAAGGGGAGATTGGAGATGTTGCTTAGTAGGTGGGGACAGATTAAGCAGATTTGTGAAAAGGCTATAAGTGCTGTTAGTCAGAGTGGATAGAGATATATTTGGTTTGTTTCCGTATGATGATGACGGGCTTGTGATTGGGTTCTATAGATAAGTTATTCACTCTGAGAACGGGGCTTGATGAAGGAAACAGTACTCGTTTTAGGTGGAAATATAGGTTTGAAAAGATAATGAATGAGATAGATAACTATTGAACTGTCGAATGTATTTCAATGTACAAGAATACGCTGATACCCCTTTCAATACACTGTGTACCTATACACCAGCCCAGATATATACCCGATGCATGTATATGTCTTGTCACCAGTGGCTCTCAGATAAACCGGTAGAGGCCCTCCGATACGCCCCTGACCCCATGGAATGGCAATAATAGATAAAGGAAAGAAAGTGAAGAAGTATACATAGCAAAGGGGGCTCGAGCTCATTGCTCGAGCCAGCCTATAACACGAACGACAGAGCAAGGGCAAAAATGTCACAAGAAATGTCTCAATTAGCCAAGCAGGATAGGATTGATACAACAAATCAAAACATGTTTCATAATATGAAGCCAGTGAAACAGATGACGCCTATATACGGCCCATTGCATTTGGGGTATCATGTAGCAAGAAATGGCAGGTCACGAGAGTGTGACGTAGAAAATAGAGGATAAGAAGGTTAAACGGTCAGGGAAGCTCAGCTTGTTCCGCCCATCTGGTATGGTTGTGAAGCCATAATACACGTCCTTTCTGTGGGACAATTACTTCCGGGACGACATCAATTTGCGGCCAAAGTTACGGATCGTCATTTTGTGACTAAATCGCAGTCAGCACAAGCACTCTACAGTCCAGTACAAATATAGCTCACCCCTCATCAGCCCCGTCCCAGCGCTTAGTTTCGGAACGGGCAATTGCAGTGCCTGAAGTCATAGGCCGGGATGGAGGATTCACAATCCTGCGAGATTGCTGCACACAGGTTAGCGACACTCCTAGTATTATTAGAACCATTCAACACTAACCTCCCAACGAGCATCCACGTCGACTTCACTTGCAGATCGAGCGTCAGACATTAGGCCGCTTTGCTCAATGCTGAGCATACTGGACCCTAAGGAATTTGAACGAACGAGTCGAGAGCTTCCGGAATGAACAGATCTCTGCGACTGTGACTCTGAGTATTCGCTATTCGAGTCCTGGCTCGTCTGGCTTTTATCAGATATCGTGATTGCCGCACTGTCAGGGTTGTGAAGCAGCTGAGAAGAGTTCGCTATATCGCGATATTTTTTCTGCTGTTGTTTCGTAGGACGATGATGTGAGAATTTATTCCCAAGTATTGCAGGTGCGTGAGATATAAGAGCCTTGATGACGTCTTTCTTCAGTCGCAAGGCCAAGTCCAAGTTAGACCATGTTTTGTTCCGATACTCCAGAATTGGCAGACGGAAGACGAAGTCGTGAATATCCTCCAGGTTATGATCTCCTTTGCCTTTGTAGCTCAAGCAAAGTACAACATCCCGCACCTTCACATGAGCTAGCGTCATGTAATTCGATGCGCGAGACATCATCTGGGATAGATCGTCGGTGGCTGCTTTGGACTTGCTCCTATTGGGTAGCTTGGCTAAACCGAACTTCTTCCCTTTATCTTCACCAACGCTGGTGCCTGAGCCATTTGCAAGGGTTTTGTCCGTGCCTTGTCTCGATAGCAATCGTAAACTGTCCGCAGATCTCTTAGTAGATAAGCCGCCACTAGTTGACGGACGCGCTGTCTGACGAGAAGGTTCGGAAGGTCCAAGTCGGTTGCTATCCTTATGGTGGGGCGTCATGGCGAGGCCTTTCAGATGATTAGAGCGTGCCGATCGGGGTCTAGCATCGTCAGATGACGTGAACGTCGGCTGTAACCTCAGTTCGATAGCGCCCGGTCCCTTCTGCGAGTCTTCTGTTGAGACATCCGTGTTGCTATGGGCGCTTCGAGGCGGGGCCGGACTTTCTGCCTCCTCATCTTCTTCGTCGGAATCTTCTAGTGGTTTCATATTCTTTATCATCAAGGGTGAAAAGCCCCCGTTTTCAAACCCACTCGCTCCGACATTAGGGAATATGTACTCGAACACCTTTTGGCCAAGCTCACGCTCCAGTTGTATCTTAAGCGGGAAAAGTGACACCTCAAAATTATCCACAACAGGGATACCGGCAACGGCCTCAAGCATGTGCCATTTAACCTTGATCATGTAATCATCCGGTGAGTCCAGAGGTTTGGCTTGGTCGAGATACGGCACAATGATTTGAGGGTAGATGGCATCCGGAAGAAGGTTCAATCCATACAGTCGTTCGACTGCTACGAGATTGTGGTTAGACCCATCACTATTGTCAGTACGTTCATATTCGGCATTTCGTAGCTGGAATTCGACTAATGGTTCGGTTTCGTCCTTCATAAGGTGCCAGACAACTTCGTGGGCTGATATGTTCCAACGCATGAGGCCATGGGCCCCAGACATTGTCGGATCGATTCTGCGCTGAGAAGTTGTTATTGCTTTCATCATAAAGAACAACTCATCTTCGCATTGAGCAAGGTCCTTTTCGAGCTCCATGCGATCTTCCCAGCCCTGTTTGTCCAGATATTTGGCATGAATTTGGAAATGCTCCTTGATCTCTTCCAGATGCCGAATTCGAGACTGCAGTTTAAACACCATCTCCGGTGCGCCTCTGAGGTCGCTGAAGTCTGAACTGAGCATGATTCTCTCCAGGCGTTCACTTCGGACTTTCTCCAGAGGCTCGCTGTAAAGCAGCAAATCAAGCACAATAATGTACATAGAGTAGTATTCAGCCGAGTCGCAGATAGCGCGGAAGTGAGGGAATTCGACGCTGATCTGATCTATTCTAGATTCCTCGCTGCGGAGACTATGCTCATGATCAGGTTGTCCCTTTGCCACTTCTTCGTTGTACTTCAGACGAAGATTGTTATACTTGTCGTATCTCAAGCTGGCAGAAGTCTTCTGAACAATCCTCGAGAAACCGAATGGATTCAATTCAAAGTCAAACATCGCTTCGATAGTCAACCAAGGCGGCCATGCTGAGCCTGGAGAATTGCCGTACTTGTTGCCCGCATAGAACTGCAAATGTTTCATCAGATTCTTTTGCGTTGCAACGAAGAATTGAGCACCATCCATCTCGAGGGAGAAGCGGCGCTGTACCAGACCACTGACATCGTCAGAAACACGTTCCTTGTCCATGATTGACACGACCTTCAGCTGCATGCCCTTCGCAGCAACCAATACGACCGACTTTTGGTTCTTCTCGCTTTGGAGCTGGATCTGAGGAGCGATAAGCCGCAAGTGATAGCTATTTTGCGGTGTGAATTCCGGTGAAATATTCTCACTAGAATCATCAGACTTTGAGCTGTCTTGTTTCTTGTGGTCAGAGCCCTCTTGTTCGTCGGCATTTACAAAACGTTTCGCATCGTTTAGTAGTTGCTCGATACGATCTTCCACGGTTCCGTCCTCTTCATTATCCACAAGCCCACGGATGTCAGAGGGGCGTCTCGACGCACTTTTGAACAACTTGGAATGCCTCCGCTGGTTCTTGCTTTGTTCGTCGACGATATCGAGAATAAATTTGACCGCCCTTCGAGACATGTAATACACAAATCCACGCCTCTGGCTCACCTGGTGACTGTAACGCAATATGATGTTCCTCAGTGAGTTGTTCCATTTTAGCTGAGTATTGTGTATTATGAAACGATTGTTGAAATTGGTGGAAAACTCGTCGTGAGGCGACGAATAAAGCCCGTCCATATCCGCATCCTTGCCATCGTTACTCGAGTCTGCATCTGTCCCTACTCGGTTGGTAACATCGGCTGCGACGGTTTCAGGGCTTGTTTTTGTTGAACTCATTTCTTCTCGAGCAAGTTGCCGCTCGAGACGCTGAAGTGCGGAGGCAAGGAAAGCCCGCCGCCGAGCGAGAGATTGCGCCTGCTTGATGTAGTTCTCATGGTCCGTCCGTAGTGAAGGATCCTGATCGACATCCTTGGCCATGCGAAGTTCTTGCTCTCCAATTGTGCGTTCCCAATCCTGGACCTGTGTTTCAACATGGGCAAGACGCTCTCTGATTAACTGCATTTGCACTCTGCGTGGCTCATTACTCTCGGACATGACACATGCGTGAGTAGGCTCATTGCCGAATGTACTGTAGCCTGTCTCGTCTGGACTTATGTCGCCATGATCTGTCTGGCGGAAATAAGTAAACCGTGGTGTAAATGCTAATGGCAAAATCTGCGTTCGTGGGTTCGACTCTTGAGGAAGGATCCAATCCAGCTCCACGAAATCATCCATATCGATCCAATCGAGATTGTGATCCGGGATCGTAAATCGGGAAAGATCGACGGAGGGCACAGGCTGCTGGAACGACGAGATAATATCGTTCTTGTTTTGCTCAATATCATCCAAGTTTGTCCCTTCAATACTAGCCGAAACAGCTCTAAAATCTGCAGCTTGCAAATCTAGCTCGGCTTGGTTAATCCGCATGGCGCTCGCCTGGGTCTGCTTGAGGCGTCCCTTTGCCAGTGTCTTAACCTGCTCGCGTCTCTGGTGCACATCAAGCTTCAGACTGTCCAAGCGAACCTTGATTCCTGTCGCTGTAACGACGTCCTCGCCATAGTCTTCGCGATCCTTGTGCTTGTACATGTGAGCTACAAACAACGGAGCGAAGAGCAGTTGATACTTCACAGTGGCAAGATGACGATTGAACTTCTTGCTAGTCTTGGTGATGCCGGGCCACAATGGACCTTGACGAACAGGAAGTGACATTACCCCAGAGAAAAGAGACCACCAATTGAAAAAGTGAGTAAAGAATCGCGGAGTGAGATGGACAGTATTGTAGCTAGTGGGTGATTCAACACGGTCGACAGACCAATCCCTACTCTCTGGGGCAAGCACAGAGATTGATAGATGGATATGGTTACTCCGGAACCCACGATAGGCGTCATACACCGCACGTTCGGAGGGGTCGACATATTTTGGATTCTGGAGGACAACCTCATAGTGCGGCATGAATTGGAACGACCGCCTCTTT